AATATGGAGGGAAGGGAAACAGCCCCAAGTTTCTTTTCTTTGCTTTCGGATTCTGCATTTCTGATCCCATGGTCCTGCCCTGAGGGGCTCGCACCTGTGTGCGGCCACCCCGGGAGCTCAGGCCAGAGCTTTCACTGCTCCTCCCACCGGCTTCCACCTGCACCAGGAGCCAGGCCTGGGGTCTGTCTGGGCCTGCAGGTCTTGTCCCCACCACCCTTCCCACCTCACCATCGCACCATCCTTGGGAGGGGGAGGCACAGGCAAGTCCCAGGAGCAGGGCCGGGCCACTGAGATGGGGGATTCTGGACCCAGCAGCCAACTTGGGCCTAGGGAAGGGAGCATGGGCGTGGGCAGGGCGCCTGGCTGCCCCGAGAGGAGGGAAGTGGCCAGTGGAGGGTCTCAGGATCTGAGGGCTCAGTAGGTCAGTGCGTAGACCTACAGGTCACTAGCCCTGGATGGACGATGGACACTGCTGTCATCGCCCTCCTGTGGCCACTCTGCCCCTGGAAGGGAGGGTCTCACCCAAACCCTCCGTGTTGTGTGTCGGGGAAACAAACCTAGAGACACGGAGACGAACTGCAATTAAACAATCTGGGTGGCTGAGCCCAGGCCTCAGCGGGGCACCGGGGGGCCGCACTGCCTCTGATAGTCACGTCCTGAGGTGACCGGTGCTACAGATCACCTGAGAGGTTGGGAGCGTGTCCCTGGAGAAAGTGACGCCTCTGAGTCAGTGCCCTTGAGCCCTGTGACGATCTCATCAAGGTGATGCTGGGCACCTCAAATATTTACTGAATGGCGAGGAGCCCAGGCCCACGTGGACAGAGAAGGTGACATTCCTCCCTGACAGCAGGGCATCGAAAGGTTGGACCGAGTGTTTTCAGTCAGAGAAACCTACCCAGGGCCAGGAGCCAGGTTTGCAGACTGAGCTTTCCATGAGTTAGACGTGAAATGAAAGTAACTTTAATGCTTCCTTCCTGGTTCCCATTTGAAAACCTGGTTTCCTTTTAGGCATAATCCACACAGTAAAGGTTTCTTACAGGACCTATGGTTTTAAAAACTTCTAATTGTGGGGACGCTGACACGCCTGAGTAGGTGCTGGAGGGGAGAGGAGGTTGGTGGGAGGCGCCCTGTGCGCCCATGGGCCCTGCTGTCGGGAGGGCTGAGTCTCGACTCACTGCGCGCGCGCCCCGCAGTCCTCCCCC